GGACTCCATCTCTAACCTCCAGAGTGGTGGCTTTCCTTTCCATGGAACACTGGCTTTCCAGATTCCCTCCGTACACATCAGGGATTAAGTCGCAGTTTTATTTCCCTTAGTGCTAGTATCCCACGTTTCCCCTTTCTGCACTACACTTAAGATTTAATAGTGTCACGGAGGCAACATGATCTCTCTTCATATCTCTTAGCTTCCTTTAGAAGTGACATGAGACTGCGAGCATAAAAAATATGATGACAAGCTATACAGTCAGACTAGCACTTAAACTATGAGAGATACTTTGAGCCCAAGCACGAGGATCTAATCCTTCCATGCCATCCACCAATTGCTTAATTATATCAGAGCCAGGAGATGCCTCAAGCTTGTCTTTGAGTGTATAGAAAATATTCTTAAGCTGATCTACATCTAATGAAATGTTTTCCCTTAAACCCTTGCAAATGTTTCTTAATCATATCCCAATCATGCAATGTTACATTATATAGGTAAGGAGTTACACAGAAATCAGTTACATTCCAATCACATTACAGCATTAATCAACAAGTCCAAAATCTTGATCTTTCAGCAAAGCAACAGTCTGTAGTACTAGTCCAGTCATTATGCATAAAATGTTCAGTTATAATTGAGTTCCAGAGTTTTTTTTAGACGTCATCAGCAGTGGAATATCTCAGTAGTCAGCGATCACCACTCTCAGTAATCTGCAAGGTCTTCTCGACGTTTTGGGTAACTTCAATAAGTAGGACAGGGTCACGTCACAGTATGGGCATCCCTCCTTTCTTCTGGGCCTTGCTGGCTGAAGAGAAATCCACCTATCTCCTTTGCCTCTGAAGATATAAACAAATAGCCCCTGTCTTCGGGGTGTCATTAACCTGCAAAAGGAATTATGATTAAGATTGGGTGGCTTCTCCAGCTCTTCTTTGTCCATCTTTCTCCAAACGTGGTTGCGTCCTTCTAAAGGGAGTCCATCAGCTTTATTCTGTAAAAATATAAATACATAGTCCTTTCTCCAGGCGAATGGACCTGGATCCCAAACATGATTTCTATCTTCTTGGGACTTCTTAGAATTAGTTTTCTCTCAGCCCAGCTTGGTGGTCCACGTGGAGAGAGGGGGAAGGGAAAGAAGGCAAGGGAACAAGGGAGAGGGGGGAGTGAGCAGCAAGGAGCTCAGAGTCAGAGAACGACAACGTGTCTTATGTAAGACAAAGTCTTGCCACCCTTGCCTCTAAGGAGCTCTCTGACCATACTTCTTCCAAGACAGAATTGTTTGTCCTTTTGGCAATGCATGGTATTTTCTTTTTTCTTCCTGCTTGAGCCCTTGGTATCAGGTCCTTTTTTTCTTTAAATCATTTTATTGGGGGCTCTTACAGTTCTTATAACATTACACACATCCATTGTGTCAAGCATATTTGTACATATGTGGCCATCACCATTCCCAAAACACTTTCTATTTGAGCCCTTGGTATAAGCTCCTCTTTTTTCCCCTCCCTCCCTCCCCCTCCCACTGACATGAATCCTTGATCAAGTATATATTATTATTATTATTTCATATTTTACACTGTCCGTTGTCTCCCTTCACTCATTTTGTGGTTATTCATCCCTTTGGGAGGGGGGGAATTATATGTCCAATCTTGTGATGGGTTCGCCCTTTTCCCCCTCCCCCTCCCCAACCATCCCTCTCCCCTCATGATATAGCTACCCCCACTGCTGTTCCTGAGGGGTTTATCTGTCCTGAATTCCATGTGTCAAGAGCTCTTATCTGCACCAATGCCTTTTCTCTGGTCTATCCAGATTTGTAAGGTAGAACTGGGTCATGGTAGTGTGTG